TATATATATATAACAAAACGTATTTATAGTAAAATGTATTTATAATAAAACATATTCAAAATATCATATTAAAAACATATTAATAACATATTAAAAATTTATTAATAACCAAAAATTTAAAAAAAAATCAATTTTTTTTTTTTGAATAGGTCCGGTCGGGACCGGGACCGGGACCGGTTGGGACAACCGGTTACTAATAACCTTGACCGGTTACAAGGAAAATCACCGGGACCGGGACCGGTTACCGCCGGTTTTTGTCGCGATTAGGCCCGGTAGGGACCGGTTAAGGCCCGGCTCGGGACCGAATTTTGGCCACCTCTAATGGGCCACAATCCTTCCACTCCGAAACATCAAAAGCCAAAAATAGTCGTCACCAAAATATAAAGTAGCTTGAAAATGTACACATGAAATGAATAAAGATTTATTTTTTATACAATTTGTACAATATAATTATGTATCAGTAGCTTGAAAATGTATACATGAAATGAATAATATCAGATGATGAGGAATATAAAATGATAACGAGAACATATCTTAAAAAAGTGTGATGCTAACCAAAAGCTCCACGTTAACACGGTTAACTATGAATATAACTAAGAAAATATAACAGTTCTATTCATAGTAGATTAGTTGATGTCTATCGGTCATTTTAGACTCATTAAAGATAAGATTTTTTACAGTCCTCGTCAGTGTCATAGGGGGCACTTGCTCCCCTCTCAAATACTGGATCCGCCCATTCTATATAAGGGTTGCATTCGAGTAACCTAAAAACACCCATAAGCTTATATCAGAACTAAAAATAGATTATGGAAAGAAATACATGGGTTGTCACAAGTAATAAAAAAACTCATTTATTTCATATATCTGTTTCATTAAAAATAATCCTGAATTCTGTTTCTACATGTACTTTTGTTGACCACTTTTTGCTAGATATTTTTATCAGGTTTAAATTACTTATATGGAATATAAAGTGTCGGTTATTTACACTTATTTCAATTAAAATTGTAAATATTTTGCTCACAAAAGTTATCAAGAGCGTTTGGGACTAAATCTTTGCATACATTCCATTTTTGCAACAATTAACGGCACAGGTTTAATGCATCACTAATGTTGGAAACACTAAGAAATAAGAGGATGATGTTTGTCGGAGATTCGTTAAACAGAGGTCAATATGTATCGATGGTGTGTCTTCTCCATTCACTCATCCCTGATCATGCAAAATCCATGAAAACTTTCGGTTCTCTAACCGTTTTCACTGCCAAGGTAACATTTCTCGCTCAAAACATAAAAGTTAAATATATTTTCTATGTTCACATATCTAAATATCCAGCTTCCTTTTTTTTTCTTTATACTTCTTTCATAAATACCAGTTGTAGACTTAATTAGTATATTCATATACCAGCTACTCAAAAAAGTAGTCATATTAACTAGGTAAGGAGATTTTATGTACCAACTTGTACTGAATTAACTTTACAAAACAGAGTGACACACGATTTGAAATAATTCGTAAGTTCTAACTCAAACTGATTGAGAGTTCCATTTACTAGATAACTAAAATGTTAATAACAAACCACAAGAGTGGTGCTTGATTGGTTTGAGCTTAACTCCAAAGGTCAAAAGTACCAGGAGGTCCCAAACTCAAATCCAAGGAGGAATAAAAATCCTCTTGTGGCCATGGAGGTTCAAATGAGGTGACTTCGGGTTATCTGCAAAGCAAGTGGTCGTCCTGGGATTAGTCAACTCACATAGCGGGTTGGATATCCAGGCTAATAAAAAAAATGTTAATAACGACTAGGGGATTTCAATATTTGTGTTGTCTAATGCTTATTTGTTATTGTAGGATTACAATGCAACGATTGAATTCTATTGGGCACCCTTTTTACTCGAATCAAACTCTGACGATGCTGTTGTACATCGTATTTCTGATAGAGTTGTACGAAAAGGTTCAATTAACAAGCATGGAAAACACTGGAAAGGCGTTGATATTATAGTTCTCAATACCTACTTGTGGTGGATGACGGGTGCTGATTTCAAAATTCTGTAATTCCCTTATTTTTAATCTTCTCTTAGAGTTGAACCAAAGTACATGATTAATATAAAAAAGTCCCAAATGAATAATATAATTGTAACTTGACAATTTAAAGTTTACTCGTACAATGCCCATGCGTTATGTTATCATTTATGGCCGATTAAAGCAACATTTTTGAAAATTTGCAGGCATGGATCGTTTGACGATGAAGTGAAAGAGATAGTAGAAGTGTCGATGGAGGATGCTTATAGAATGGCGATGAAAAGTATGTTGCGATGGGCAAGGCAATATATGGATCCGACAACAACAAGAGTCTTCTTCACCAGCATGTCTCCGTCTCATGAAAAGTTAGTCATTTCTCTTTTTGAACTTAAAAATAAAGGCTTTCTTTCGAGTACATATGAGTAGTGATGGCCAAATCGGCCCGGCCCGATTTTTAAAAAATGTAACTATTTTTTTTAAATGTAGCCACTTTTTGGCCCTTTTTTGTATTTTTTTTTGCTTTCTAACACACTATATATATGTGTCTTGATTGAGGGATTTACATACCAAGTTATCGATTCGCAAAAAAGACAAAAAAAACGTTCACAATTATCGGTTTCTCACTATATTTTGTAAGACAATGTAATTTTAATTATAATAAAATGCATTTTTAAAGTGTATTTGAGTGACCCAATTACAATTTTATAATGTATTAAAAATATATATCATTAAAAAAATAAAAATAAAAAAATATTTTTTAATGAGCGGGGCCGGGACCAGCGGCCCATAACCGGTTACAATAAAGCTTGACCGGGCTCAACTTTTTCGAGCGGGACCGGTTACGCCGAGACCGGTTATGACCAGTTATGAGAGATCTTGGGACTGGCCCAACCCGGCCCGGGACTGGTTTTTGGCCATCACTACATATGAGTATAGGATCAAATAATTTTTTCTTTATTCATAAATCCAGGGACGTGTTTATGGTTAAATTGTCATTTACATGGAAAACACAGACTCAACAGATAATAATAACAATACAATCTAAGAGGATTGTTTTGTAACAAAGCTTGTTATCTCTTTTTATATTAATATAAATATATACACAATCGATCATTTCTCTTTTTGTGGTATATGTCAGAAGCACCAATTGGGAAGGCATGCCAAATGGAAACTGTTACAACCAAACAGAAGTGATTGAGGATCCGAACTATTGGGGACCAGATTGCAAGAAAAGCATAATGGAAGTAATCGAAGACGTCTTCAAGAAATCAAAGTTTCCCTTAACATTTCTAAACATCACACAACTCTTACTTTACCGAAAAGATGCCCACACATCAATATACAAGAAACAATGGACCCCTCTGACACCAGAACAAAAAGTCAATCCTGTTACTTATGCAGATTGCATGCATTGGTGTCTACCCGGGCTTCAGGATACATGGAACGAGCTCTTGTTTGCCAAACTATTTTATCCTTAATAACTTCAACATAAATTTAATTGATATTTTTTGTTGCATATATTAAGGATGTCTTTCAAGTTGATATTATTTATTTACGAGTAAATTAAAGATTTTGTGGTTATATCAAAACATGGATTGGGTTCCTAAAACAAAATAATTACATGTATGATGGCTCTGGTTTCACTTTTATTATGGATTGGGTCACTATCTCTAACAACATTAACTTTAATTTTGTTGAGGACAACCAAGTCTTTTTACTATTTCCTCTCATATTAATAATCATCAATAACAGTTAATGGTGACCCAATCCAAAATTTTCAACAACCACGGGGACAAAGTCTATAATTTACTTTTTATTTATTGTCCCGTGGGTTGGGTTCACGTGAGACCGACATGTTTTCACGAGACTGTGAGAACACAAATAACAATGAAACCTTCACAGCAAAAACAATGTGAAAGTTTATCTTCACAAACATTCACAGGGTTTCTGTTATGAAGGGATAGTATTATTTAAGTGCTCTCACGGATCTCACAAAAACAATCTGGTTTCACATGTTCCCTAGTCATTCCCGTATATCATAAATAATTATAATTTTCGGTCTTTCAAAAGAAAATAGAAATTGAGCTGAAGCCCATTTGTCTTTGTGACACAACTATAGTTAACCCGATTAACTAAAACGAAGTTGGTTTGGAAGCCTATTGGGCTTTGAGACCCAAACTAGATATTGTCAAAATGGGCGGTTTAGGACCAGGATCAGGACTGATTGGGTGAGACTAATAAGGACCGATTATGGACCAACGTACAGGACTAATTACATTTTTAGAAAAATTTAAGGTTCAGACCGGTTACAGGATTGGTTATACATAAGCCCGATTTTAAAAAAAAATTATAAATTATATATTAAGTTTTTCAAGATTTATAAGTTTTTTACCAAAAAAAAAAAGAAGTTATTTTTAATGTTTTTCAAGCGTGCTAGATACATCGAAGTAGAGTCCATGGAACCACCTCAACAAAGGCGAGGACTTCTTCATGTTTGAGGTTTGTCAAGTTTTTTTTAAATGTTTTTAAATGTTCCAATACTAAATTTCAAAAATCGTAATTATAAAAAACATGTATAACATTTTTGTGTAAAACAGATTTACAAAACATTTAAAGTGTATTTGAATGACATAATTAGAGATTTTAAAATGTATTTCAATAAGATCACCATCTTTTATATGTTAAAATTAGATTTTTGATCACGGAGGTTCAAATGCAGTGACTCCGGGCCATCTGCAAAGCTGGTTGCCCTAGGATTAGTCTGCTCACATAACGGGTTGGATATTCAGGTTAATAAAAAAAAATGATTTTTGGAAATAAAAAATTTGGGGACTGATTTGGACCGGCCCAAACACCAGAACCGGGATCGACTCTAGGGATCGGAGATTGGGTGTTTTTGGGTCAGGACAAGGACAGGTTACCATGGGGGACTGGTTATAAAAAGAAAATCTCGAACCGAGACCGACTTGGACACGACTAGGCAGGCGCGTTTTTGGACATCCCGGTCCCAATTGAACTGTGAGAATTCAAACTTTATGCCAATTGAAGCCAAATCGGAAGGATCCAATTCAGCCATGTTTATTTAAGGATTTCAGTTTGAAGTTAATGTTAGATTTTGCATATGGAGTTCTTTCATGAAAATTGTGAGCATTATTTTCTTTAAAAAATGCATGGATGAATTTGGTAGGATTAGTTTGTAATTTTTGATCTGACAGTCGATAATTCAACTTTTAATTATGTATAATGTTTTATTTTATTCTATCTTTTTCGTTTTTCTTTATATGATTTTATTATGATTGGCTGGTGTTTTTGGAGCGTAGCTGATTAGCTCAGTTGTCAAAGAGGTGAGGTGATTTTGCCCAAATACAAGGAAAAGTCTTGGGTTCGATCCCAGACCCTCTGCCAGGGCCGTCCCTGGGGGAGGGCGGAAGGACCTCTGGTAGCCTCAATCGCTGAGTGGGCCAAAAATTCCCCATCACATAAGTGTCCTTGAAGGCGGATTTCATATGGGGTCGATTAAGGTTGCCGGTTAAAGATTTGAAGTTAGTTCTATGGATTATTCTATTTGGTTAATAAGATTCGACACTTGTATTTTTGAATGCGTTTATCAGTTAGGTATTAGTTAATTTTATGGAGTTTGAATGTGAAGCTTTAAAAAGTTATAGAGTTGTAGTAATAGAAGAAGGATCATGCGAGAAGCTATACATTTTGCGAGAAGTTTCAATATCATATATAATTACACTCATTTGGGCGAGTTTAATCATATATGATTAAGCGTATATTTCAATACAACATGTGTTTAATCATATATGCTTAAGATTGTATATCATGAATATAATTATATATAATATTGAAACTTCTCGTCATCTCACAAAATGTTTAGCTTCTCGTTTGAACCTGCCCTTATAGTAATAAGTTGTAAACTTCAATTACAAGGAAGTTTAAGAAAATAGGGTAAATGTTATATAATATGATATAAATATCAAGAGGGATTGAGTTTCAACGCAAACCTAAATCTGATTTGGGTGATGTCTTATTGTAAATTTGATGTAAATCGTTGGTTAATGAAATATGTGTCATAGAACAAATTTATCGTGGCTCAAAGTCACTGGTTTCAGTTTCTAGCTCAATACCATAAAAAACAATCTCAAAAAGGTTGTTTTGGCCAAGAAATTGATATAACCTAAGGTTTTATACACATTAAATTCATGTTGATCGATTTTGTTGGAGGTTTGGTCAAAAACGAACCAAATGAACAAGTATATGCTCAAAGTTAATTTTCATTTTCGTTCCTAATCAAATACGATGAATGATAACTCATTTGATTTATATTAAACTTAAAAGAAATTTCAAACGTTTTCTCGGTGATCATAAAATTTCAGTGATTAAATCGAATATCTTAATAAATGTGTTGGTCATTATTTGCAATTAAGCCATTATACCAAGTAATTTATGATCTTGTTATACTTTCATGGAGCAATTGAAATGTAAGCAAATGTGAGTTTCGTATGAGTTCCTAAACTCATGTGTTGTGTTATGCAAAATACATGTGTGATGCAAATCTAAAAGTTCAATTATATGTTCACGTGATGTGGTTTACATTCGACGAGCTACGTATGCAGTCTAATACTTATTTATAGCAAGAAGGTGTACAAAAAACTGTCAATCCGTCCAACTCAACCTGTCAAACTGCTAACCCGCCAATTAGGAGGGTTGAAATTGAGTTGGGCCTAGCTCAACCGTCCAACCCGCCGCTAATATATAATTTTTATAAATTTATATATATACATATACATATATATATATATATATGTATATATATTAATAATGTATAAATTTTATATAATTTTTATTGATATTATGTTTGTATTTCATGTTAGCTAAACATATAGGTTACTAAAAGAGTTTCACAATCAATGAATGATGACAAATAATCTAATTAATAAGAGAAAAAATTTGAAATCTTTTTTTGCAGCAACAACAAATTGATATGTCGAAGAATATGAATGATAATGATAGATATTTGGTTGACGAATCCATCAAACGAAATACTCCATCATTTTATGTTATATTTTAGTGGAAAGAAAATGTTTAGTTATAGCATTTCGCTACAACAACATTAGATCGTATATGATGCCTAAAATGTCTAAGCGTCCTAATATGATACTTTAAAGCACGAAACAAGAAAAATGTCTCATCTAAAAAAGTTACAATATGTTTATAGGATGATTTTGGGCGTCCTAACAAATTCTATGACGTTTTTAAAATAAAGTGTCATATTAGTTATTATATAGAACATGACTTGAAAAAGTGTTATATGAACATAAGTGTCCTATAAATAGATGGGTTTACGGGACACTTCTTAAAATATTTCTATAAAATAACTAATACGACATTTTATTTAAAGATTATTCTAAAACACTTGTTGAAACGTCCAAAAACATCAAATAAACCTATTATAACCTTTTTTAGATAGGACGCTTTATAGTATGTTCTATAAACTTAGGTTTTATGAATTATTTCATTTGTCAAATTTATGTAACTACTAACCCGACAACCCAACTCAACCCGCAAAGGTTGGGTTATACTTTTGAATGGGTTAAGTTAGGTTGAGATTTTTCCAAACCGCCATAATTGGATTGGGTTGTAAAATTTTTGTAAACCGCCTAGCCTAGCCCAACCCAACCTGTGTACACCCCTAGCAAGAACATAGTGCTGTGGAATTATAAGAATGTGATGAGGATGAAGAAACGACAACATCTGATTCACAGTTGGGTAGCAAAAAGGGAGAAGATGCTATAGAACGAAAAGCATTAGTGGTACCTCCTCCTTCCCTTACGTCGATAATTGATCTTATAAAGGAGGATGTGGAACGTGTAGATACCTGGGAAACCTTCATAAAAAGCTTGAAAAACCGATGGTTCAAGATAAGAAGACGATCTTGGGTGATGGTGCCTTTGCCGACCAACAAAAAGAAGCGTCATCAGAATGCAAAGGCCCCACACTTAAATTTCGGACAGGCTTAAAGGCACCCCAACGTATAGAGAAGCAACAGTTTGGGAAATAGGTCTATTGGACACCGGAGTAGATTAGTTGATGTCTATCGGTCATTTTAGACTATTGTTAATCTCTTGAAACAATTTATACACTGCGAGATTTTAAGCCTTTTGACTGGACATCTAGAATCAGCCTCGCTTTCACTTTTTGTGTGAATACGTCATCTCTATTGTGTACTTCTAGAACTTGAACTAGCTCTCCTTAAGATTATGTTGATTGGGCATGCTAATGAACATGATAAAGGTCGTCTTTGTTGTTTTTTATGTTAGCCATTTTAGCCTTAACCCTAACCTTTTAATTTTATTATATTTCCCACTTGCTTACCAAGTTCGAGCCTTAGCCTATTTCGTTTGTTATCTACATTATGAGCTTATCCAAACACCACCCACCCTACCGGTCGGCAATGGAGATTTTTTTAGTATTACCCTTTTGTTAAAAAGTGATATATATATATATATATATATATATATATATGTGTGTGTGTATTGTTGGGG